TTACATCCATTAAACTTGTAAATGAATTCTTGATTTTTTTCTTCACCAGAAGACCAAATTCCTTAATCTGACTTTCGCTTTCAGAAAGGAAAAGATACACAAAAAAGTTGTTCAGCAGAGTAAATGAGTGGGAACAAAGTACTTTATAGATTTTAAGAGCATAGATTCTAACTGCATTTCATCATGGTAAACTAAAATTAATTACTTTATCAAGGCAATTATCATCCTTGGCACAAGTTACCAAACTTTTCACTCCCTTTGCAAGCTCAGGAAATATGCTATCCAGAGACTGTAAAAGGTGATCTTCCTTTTGCCTAATTAAAAGCCTTATTGAGACCAGGCATGAGGCTAAACCTTGTCCTTACCTTGTCTGAAATTAATGAAAATACCTAAGAATGTTGCTTGGAATCATTGTGACCATCTAAGTACATGAATATCAAATATGTAATTACCGCCCTGCATTCAAAGGTTATCTATATTTCACTCATTAGATCTGAGAATAGTTATGCTAGCTTGGTTATTAGAGTCAATTATTCAATGGGTCTTATGCTGATAGGGGCACATAGCCACATCCACCCATTATTTCCACAAGGACCCATCTTGGCAAGCCACCTGACAGTTCCTCTGGCCATCTCTACCGTGTCAGGATAGATTTGATTAGTATGTTCCCTTTAATTGCTATGAAGACCACTGAAACTTTATAAAACAGGGCCATGAGAATTATATACGGTTGCACAGATGGAATTATTCACTCCCCATAGTGACACCTGGTTTGCAATCCACTGATCCTCATGAAGAGAACAGGATTAATATTTTTCTATATTTACTTTTGCTGAAAAGTGTATGCAAGCTTCAGGCAAAACTGATGTTGGTGCACTTGGCTCTCTTTGGTTATATGAACTCTCTGCATTTAGTGCATAATATCTGGGACCTATAAATATCCAGAACACAATTTCTAGTCTTTTCAAACTGAAGTTCCATTGTACTGAATGCACTCTCATGAAATAGTTTCTTTTGACAAGGTTGATTAGGGTTTATGCATAATCATCACCTCTTCTTCAAAGGAAAAATGTGTTACCAGTTTTTAGATATTACAAATACGTGTGGATAACAGAAAGGATGGAGACACATGGGCAAGACAAGCAAGGAAGTATGACCAGAACATTCTTTTAAGGCTATATTTTACTATTTTGGAAGCGTCAGTTTACAGTATCGAAACTATGAACAAGATAACAATACTGCAAAAAGAGTAAGACACCCAGTATGGCTCTTGTACAGAAACTACATCCTACCTATCAAATTCCACTCACAAGAGAATACAACATTTTGAGTATATCAACTTTATTGTACTGTAGATAATGGTCTTGTCTTTGAAATGATAAGTGGCATAAGAGATTTGTACATCCAGACAAAAAATGTAGTCAAAATGAGCACTACAAAGAGGCACTTAAGTATGCATAAATATTTGACTGATGACCCTCTATACCAAGAGAAGTACCAGTTTTAAAAGATGCTTGGGTATCATATGCTAACTTTGTGCAGGACATGTACAATGCTTTCTAGATCAACTTTTCAAGGAGAGTTCACACTAGAAATTATGTTAATGGAACAAGGTAATTTACTATTGTATATCTGGCATATTTTACAGCTGTAGATATGCTGGTGCAGGACTTTGGCTTTAGTAAAACTATTTTTGGTACATATTCCCAAAGATCTTCGGCAGGGTGTAAAGCAATTAAAGCTAATGTCTCACATATTACGAAACTGCAAATATGTTGGCACAGAACTGTCATGTGTGAAACAGACAATTCAGTAGACAGCCAAGTCTTACTCACTCTTCAAAAAACAAAAGTTCATGACCATAACAGTAATGAAATAAATAATTAATTTCTTGTCTTTATTGTCTAAACAAACAAACTAATATCCATAATAACAAAACATTTAACAGCTATAATAAAAATAACTAAAAAATAATCCCTTATGCATGAACACATTATTCAACAGCCAAAATACAGAAGATAGAAAAAGTAAATAGTGACATTATAGAAAATTAAAAATATTTCACTAACTTTACATATCATGTAACATGTTAAGGCACTATGGATTCAAATTTGTGAATTGGTAAGGCATCATAGTATTGACTGGTGAGAAAGAATGATAGAAAGAAAGAAAGAAAGAAAAAAGGGAGTATGAGAAAAAAAGAAAGTGAAAGAAAGAAAGAAAAAAGGGAGTATGAGAAAAAAAGAAAGTGAGAGAAGAGAAAAAGAGAGAAAAGGAGAGGGAAGAAGGAGGGAGGGAGAAAGAGAGAGGAGAGGAGAGGAGAGAGAAGGAAAGGAAGGAGGGAGGAAGAGGAAAGAGAGAAAGAAAGAATAAAAAGAAGGGGGGGAAGGGGAGAGCTGAAGCTAGGAAAAGAGGAAAACACAATGGGACAAGACTGCTGCAAATTCAAAAAATCTCATAAAATTAGGCACTCCAGTCCATTAAATTGCACACTCATATT